GACAGTGTCATTGAGTCTTGCCTCAGACTCGAGTCGTGACTAATTAGTGGTAAAAAGTACAAAAATGACGGCAACTGTGTCCGCGACGGTGACGGCAGCAACCCTGACTTCGGCGGCGGCGACCAAGATGGAGGCGGGGACACGGCGGCGGCGGTGACGACGACGCGGGAGACGGACAAATCGTCTAGATGGGACGGAAAAGTGGACACGGAAAATGTTCAGGTGAGGAAAGGCTTCACAAAGCTGTTGTAAGTGAACTGTCGCAGTGTAAAAAATAAAGAAATCGAATTTTGGAATATAGTCGATGCTTGTGATCCTCGAAGCAATAGGAACTGAATCTTGGCTAACGGAAGAGATAGCAAACTCCGAAGTTTTTCGTCCAAATTACAGGTCGTTTAGGAGAGATAGAAATACTAGAGGTGGGGGGGGGTATTCATTTGTGTTAAGGATACAATAGATGTGAGGAGAAATTGGGTCAGTGAGGAAATTGAGATAATGGGGATAGAAATTAGTAATTCAGGGAATATGTTAGAAATTATTGCTTGCTATAGGTCACTAAATGAAAATTACGCGATTTTGGAAGCAATTTCTGAAAAAATGGAAAACACCGATGTACATCCAACAGTAATCGCTGGTGATTTAAATATTCCAGACGCAAATTGGAAAGGCGCTGTGAGCGAAGCGAAAGTACAACAGTCGGTGAACAGACTCGTCTGGGAAGGGGGATTAGCGCAGGTAGTAGAGACCGACCCGACAGGAGGCGCTTCTAGATGTTTACTTAATTAGGCCGCAAGAGCTTTTCTTGTCTTGCGATGTCATTGACGGCATAAGCGACCACAAAGCGGTGTTAGTTGACTTAGACATAAATTTTTCACATAAAAGAATTCCCTACGGTACAAAAATCTGGCAGTTCAAGAAGGCAAAGACAAAAGGGTTTCACCACTACCTGAGAGACTAGTACGATCGTTTTCTGAGAATAGAAGGGGGTATGGAAGAAACTTGGACCGGGTTTAAGAGCATTCTGGATAATGCATTGCAAATGTTTGTGCCGCATAAATACTTAAAAAGAAATTCAGATCCAGAATATTATAATGCGAAAATTCGACGTATGAAGAGAAGTGTCAGAAAAGCTTTCAATAATAGACATCGCAGTGAAAATCATCGGATACTTTTTCGTAACGGTTCAAAAGAATTAGAGCGGGAAAAGAAAATTGCGCAGGAGTCATTTTTAAAACACATTCTCGACAGTGAGGGAAAAAATTGGTCAGGGTTTTACAAATATGTTCGCAGAAGAAGAGGAAATAAAGAAGAAATTCCTATCGTTAGAGATACTAACGAGTTACTAATAGTTGATCGGGAAAACGCAAACGCATTTAATACCTACTTCATTTTCGTTTTTAAAAAAAAATCTCACCATACTCAGATATCGAGGGAGGCTGTACCCAATCAGTTTAAAATAGACGTAAATGCATTGCGAACGCGAATCTATGAAAAATGGAAAGTTCCGGGGTCCAGATGACATTTCAACGGACATAATTAAACTCAATGGAGAGGCAATATTACCGTATCTAACAAGAATATTTCATGTTTCGATCAACAATTCAAGCGTTCCAAAAGATTGGAAGCTAGCTACTATTGTTCCGATTTTTAAGAATGGTGACAGAAGTTTTTGCAAATTATAGACCGGTAAGTCTTACGTCAGTTGTATGTAAGCTAATGGAACATTTGATAACTAGCTGTATTAGACAAGAATGGGAAGAAAAAGAATGGCTATTTCAGGGACAGCATGATTTTAGGAATGGTTTCTCTTAAAAGAGTCAGATAGTATCATTCTTTCAGGATATAGCAGATGAAGTTCATGATAGTGGGAGGGTGGATGCCATAATAATAGATTTTGCGAAGGCATTTGATGTTGTCCCACACGATAAACTAGTTCATAAACTAATGCATTCGGGTATTGATACCAGAGTTGTGGCGTGGGTTGATGAGTTTCTTCGAGATAGGAAACAGAAGGTCCGAGTTGGACAACAATTTTCAACTCTGGCAGAGGTTACTTCAGGGATCCCTCAAGGAAACGTTATTGGACCCCTCATGTTTCTCGCGTATGTAAACGACCTGCCTATGTTCCTGCGACGACCTATGTTCCAAGGTAAGACTATTTGCAGATGACTATAATATATCGAGTTATTCAATCAAAAGTAGACGAGGATATTTTACAGGATGATGTAGATAGATTACATTTCTGGACAGAAAAAAATAGCATGATAATAGTTCAAAAAGCCAAACCATCACGTTTTGTAGGGGCCGCAAATATAGTGAAAGTCAATACCGTTTAGGCAACGAGGTCTTTGCATTTTACCATGCGAATACTAACAAAGAGTACTGCTAAAGCGAGAGAATAAGCTTACCTGTCTTTAGTTCGACCATTAATGGAATACGGTGCAATTTGTTGGGACCCTTATAGAAATTCACAAAAGGAATACTTGAATAGAGTACAGAGAAGAGCGTGTAAACTTACTTTCCACAGCAATAGGAAGAAAGTAGAATGAGAGTTCCTAGAAATCAGGAGGGTTAAGGCAAGACTCTGGGCCATGTACAAAGCATATGCCGGTTATCCAGCTTGGAAAGATATTTTCATTCGACTCGATAGACCCACTTACTTTAGTAATAAAGCGGATCACAAGCACAAAATTCAGTTCAGAACACAGAGAACAGATGTTGGAAAATTTTCATTCATCAGAACAATAACGAACAGGAATAAGTTACCTGCAACAGCTATGGAACCCTTTCCTCTAGCTGTACAAAGATTTAAAAGTAGATTAACTAAGGACATTTGTATAAGTTAGGCTTATTAAAATAGTTATTATTTTAGTTATAATTTTATAATAATTGTTTATTATTATTATTGTGATAATCACTATTAAATGCATTGGTTTGTTAAATATACAATTACATTTAAAGTAGTAGTTGAATTGGAGTGTCGTGACGTGTTGTGAAGTGTAGTGCAATAGAGAAGTCAAGTGCAAGTGTAGTAAAGTGAAGTGAAATGCAGTGTATTTATTAGTTAGAAATTCCATGCAGGACAGTAATAAAGTGTATAGGTGATGGTGTTATTGTTATTATTGCCTTGAAATGCTTTAAAATTACAGTGTATTATTATTCTTAGTTGTAATATGTAAATTGAAGTGTTCTGCCACCAGGTTCTATACCTACCTGCAGAAATAATAAATCTATCTATGTTTTTCTGTCATTGTTCTTCAATCACAGCAAATAGAATGGGTATTCTGTAGTTGAACATTTCAACAAATGATTTTCAAAATCTACACATAAAAATATCATTCTTAAACTGCTTATTAATGATTGCATCCTTTTTTCACCCCCTCCACAAATGAACTACATTTTTTTAAATTCTTATTCTCAACCCTTAATTTGGTTTGGTCTAGTCTTCATAAATGTGATTATAGCATCATAAAAAGAAAACATTGCTAAAAATTTGTAAGCAGCTTTTTGCTTCAATCTAAAACACAATGCCTAGACTTATAAGTTGCTTGACCCTATATACCCCAAAACAATAACGCACACTATAAGTTTTTCAAAACAATCAAAATATCTTTTTCAATTTTAAAGATCAAATTAAAGTGAGAAGCAGAAGTCTCTGTAAGAAATGAAGTTCCACCAATACTTTTCCTAAAGGAAATATCAAGTAACGAAGAGAAAATCTAATTCGAAAAAAAGAGAAAACAAAACAACACTGGTTATGTTTCTTGTACCTTCATACTTTAAACAGGTTTAGCAAATCACTTCTTTTCATAAAAATAATTAATGTGAAATTACACATGAGAATCTTTTATAAACGAGACACAAATTATTGTGTCTGGTTTCTCGCATGGTTATAAATACATCAAGAACATTTCATTATATGCCAAAAGAGAAAGAAAGAAAAAAACCTTAATATTAATTTGCAGTATATAATGTTTGAATTACTGAGAGGAGTGTTTTATCTCCTTACATAAACTCCACTTCACTAGTTTAAAAATCAAAACATCAGAAGGAAACAGGTGTGGGATAAATTCATAAATAAAATTAGGAAAAAGTTCATTACAAGATTTTATTTCAAAGTTTTCTCTGGAAGATCCAATAGCCCTACATCATTTTTTCTTATTTATCTTAAATCTGCGACTAAACTCTTTACTCTTCTACCTAAGTTACTGAATCTACACAAACTCCAAAGAAGTTACAGGTTTGTTTAGCAGGTGCAATGATGTAATTTCTTTCATTTCTCATCACCACACTTACAGACAAGCTTATCAAAAGTCTCTGATCACTCACCTCTAGATGGGGAATTAATAAAATCATTAACTTAGCTATAACTGATTCCACACTCTGATTCTGATGTCAATATATGTAGCACATTATGTCTCATATGCCACCAAAAATTAAGTCTATCACTTGCTCTCATCTTGGAAAACAACGCAAATTATTTTAAAATAAGTAGAAATTATTTTTTTAACTTTTACACATTCATAATTTTCATACAATTTTTTTCTCTGATATACAATAGCCAAACTTTAAGACAAAAAAAATCTTACTTTGGAATTGAACTACCACACTATCATGTCACACATCTCAAATATTCAAATGTATTTTGAAAGGTGTAAGAAATTCAATTAAACAAAAATGCAGAAATGTCACAAGTTACCAATTCATACATAAATAAGTGCCATTATATTTGAAATATTCTTTTATGAAAAAAAGATGTGTAATATGACCACTTTCAGAGATTTTCCATTATATTTAATGTGAATTATTTTTTAAAAATATTTTCATCTTTTTTCTTAATTTCATAAATTAGGTCCAAAAATAATTCCATTGACTGGATAATTTAGTTGCAAAATTGGGTTGATTTCTGGATTTTCATATAATTTCAAGATTAATGGCCCTTTATTATGCTGTTACTCTTAAAGATGATCCACATATGTGATGCAATTTATCATTATTGTGGATAATCTTTAACCACAACCATATTGGCACTTGGAAGAAAAACTAGTCACATATAAAATACTAGTCAGAAAAATGCAGAAAATAGGTACACAGAATAAACTACTAGAATGGATGCCATTCAATATAAATCACACATTAATTTCAAGACCAATATTCTCAATACTTTTCAATGTATGTACCCTCTCTATATATTCCATTTACATTCACGTTTACTCTTGAAGACTATAACAGTAAATGATATTTCTTAAAAGATGCAACAGGAGAATGTAAAAATGTATCAGACTGTGAGCTAGTAAATACTCATATCAACAATCAAATAAAGAACCATTACAAAGCACTATCTGGAATAAGAAGTACGATGATATATATTGTTTGGCAGCCCTAGTTTACCAAGACTTTTTACAAGCATCAGCAGGGATATCCAAATACAAAGGGTTGCACAATCAAAGTGTGTTGGCAGACTTTTGAAAATTTGATATATCAACCTGCTGTACATTTTAGAACATATTTATTTGGCAATTAAAATAAAACTGTTATGTGATGCTTAACCAATCATGCTAGCTTTCATTACTGTTGCGTATCAGAGAACCCCCCCCCCCAAAATATTAATTATCTCCCATTTCTTCGCATCCATCACAAATCCTACATGAATTCTTTAACAGTAAGCCTTCACGAAACAGAAATATATTCATTTGGAATGATTCCAAGCCGATATGTAGGTCCTGCATATACACTTTTTTTCACTAAAAACAAAGAATGACTAACGTTCAGCATGAAACAACAATTATAAACAAATAAGACTATTCACAACAAAAATTTAAAATGCAGAATTAACCAGAATAAAATGAAATATGTGTCAATCATTTGAACCATTTTCAATTGTATTTTTAAGAAAAATAGAATTATAATTTTCTTCATATTTTACTACACCACATAGCTTTTAGAGAAGTTCACATCACATCAGTAAATCTCCAGTCAAGAGGAAACAGGGAGGAGAGGAAAGATTAAGATTTTCCATGTTGACTTATCTGTAATGTTAAAGATCTCTTTATTCCACTTCATGCCATAATGAGTCATGAAGAACAGAAGAACATTTTTTTCAATCCTTCTCCTCAGCAAAGCAATGTAAGGCTTCCAAAAATACAAACTGAAGTTTAAAGAAATTTCCTTACTACTTGCCTTTCAATACATACCAACTCTGAACCCAATAATAATAATAATAATAATAATGAACTATTTTCCCATGTATTTACAGAGGCTTCTTATTTCCAAGAAAGAGACGTAATAAGATGTACTAAAAATGCACTCAAAATGTAATCTATTCATACACAAATATGTACATTTAGATATAAGACAACATATATTGATTTAGCACAGTAGAAATATAACATGCCCCACAACTTTGTGCACATGCACTTCAGGCACAGATGGCCACTGTTCTCATGGATTTTCCAACAGGGAGAAAAATACTTACAACAAAAACATAATCTATTCAATTAACTATGTAAAGTGGAAAAAAACTTTAAAAAACAAACTGATTGCAGCTGAGGAGCCCCAAATGCCCATAAATTTGTGAAAATGCATCACATGAATTTAGACAGTTCTCATCCACTGTTTACAAATCATCCCATAGTGATGTCATGGGGAACTGATAACATATTTATTGTAACTGGCTGAACACTTGTTGATTATGTCAAAACATGGACAATCTTCTGATCCATTGAGACTTCAGTAACAGTATAACATTAGAACCCATGGCAGAAGTGTCATGCAAAGAGGAAACAAGATATTGGATATTACATCGTATTACCATTCGGCAACTTAGAAAAATGAGAGTGATAGTGTTTGAAAACATGTCTACACACCATTGTGAATGCAAAGAGTCACTTTATCTTGGGAGTCCATATTCTCAATGGCTAGAATAATCAATATTCTAACACATCTCTTGTCTTGCGAAAAACAAAAATGTGCTACATCATTTCTTCAGGTTCTTGATTTTTCTTCAGCTCCAGAAATCCACTCCAGCACTAGAGAAGATAAAAGATTTTTTTTTTTAAAAAAGAAAATCATTTCTGTCAATTCCACTAAACTTCATGAATCACTTTCACCTCAGTCACAACAAGATGTATTTGATATTCTTTGACTTAAAAAGCCACCAAAATTAAAATGAGTCTTGGACCAATGCACACACTTGCAATAGCATCCACTGACGGCATCAAAGAACTTGTAGGAATTAAAATCCAGACTGACCATTAAGGAGTAACAGCAAATGGACTTTGAATATACTTGTATCTGTCATTGCCAGAGAAGAAACAGCTGTGATGCTTGACGCTGCCATCAAATGCCAACAAAATTAAACATTGGTACCATGGAAAGCATCCACTTCCTGTTGTCATTAAGACAACAAATCTTATTTCTTCCAGACATGTTTAGTGCTTGATAGAATGTCTTATCCACCACCATATCTACTTGTCAATCAAAACAGTTTTCATGCACACAACTCCATCATATCTAATTTTCAGTTATTCAGACTCTCAGATGTGCCCCAGAATAAACAAGGACCAGTGACATGAGCAATGAGGAAAATGGGAACCACACCAGCACACCCAGCCACTCAATTTTGTACTACAAGTTCTCTGACCAGGAGCCGATGTTAACATGTAACTTACATAGTTTGGTTCTTGCTTCAAAAACCGAACTACATTGTGATTGTGTGGCTAAAGCAAACTTCGCTCCAAGCTAATGCACAAGAACAAGAATAATTTTAGGCACCAACTGCTTAAATTGCAGTGAGTTGCATAGGCAACTCAATACTGTTCCTATTGCAAAAAAGTTCACAACTGTACAATGAAGAAAAACAGTTTCAAGATTATGCATACCTGTCAATTTCTGTTAGTTTCTTATTTGAAAAAACCATACACACTACACATCAACTACTAGTATACAACAAAAAGTGTTATATTCAAAGTTTTGACTGTAATTCATACACACAGGTTAGGTTCAAAAAATGTCCATTTATGAACACATCAAAGAAATTGTGATTTAGCAAAGAAACAAAGACAGCCAATGTTGTATCAAAAATCACAAAATACAAAGAAGCAGTATTCACATAAGGCACAACCATTCTTTTAAATCCAGAACTACTTGCTTTTCCCTTCACTGCCAATATATTAATATTTTTAAAAATAAGTAGAAGAGCTTTATCTAATTTTTGTTTTGGTCAATTGACAACATGCAAGAAATAGAAGAATTCACAAATTCAATTTTCCAGATTTTCCAAACATTGAATTCGCAACTTATGTCCCCTGAAATCTATAGAACTATTGGATGCCATTTAGTAATTTTGTCAATTTCATTAACATCTATAAGTACAGGTATGCAAACATACACAAGTATATGGACAATGGATATTTATGGACAGCTAATCATTCAGTTTTGGCACTTACATCCTGGCAGACCACAAAATTCTCTCACATATGCTTTTTCACATCCAAAAATACACTTTTAGTAAATATGTATATTAAACTGGTGATGGTTATTACAGAAGTGCCATAGTACACATCAATCACATCAAACGGCATCAAAGTACACACATCATATAACATCCTGCGGCCATACAGTTATTACAAATAACATAATGCATTAAACAATTTTTCTATCACAAACTTCTTCAAAAACTAGCAGAACTGTCACACATCAGATTAGACAAACTTAAAAAGGATCTGAGGTAAATAATGAACTGATAGCGGACAACAGGTCACAAGGAATCCAGGGGCACATCTCACATTATCCTGGGAGGATTTGTACTTGATTTTCTAAAATTTTTTTTTTTTAAAAGAGCACTGCCATTATCTTCTGTACGTTACGTCAATATTTATATTTTTTTTTTTTGAAAAAGTTTACATTTCCTTTCCTTTATGCACATAACTATTCAGTAAATTAAAGAAATCAGATTTAACGGATCATAGATGACAAAATGCTCCGCTGCTTCGGATAAAGAAATCTCCTCTGATTCCTTTCTTCTTTTTGCTCTTGGAAAAGAGGAGAAAATTGTAAAACTTGTTTCCAAACTGATCTTCCTTCAGAAGAGGTTGACATATTGACGTTAGTGCACTTCTGACGACTCAGGCTTTTGAGAATGGTGGTTAGATGGGTCAGGAGTGCTGAGCGGCTACAACAAAGAATGATGGATATATTAAATTTTGGACACACTGTCTGTTACATACGATTACTTGCATTTTCTAACTTGAAGTACTAAAAATTTTGCCAGCAGACAAGCAATGAGGTGAATGAGCAAATGAAATTCATTGTAACCAACATTCTTCTAATTAAATGGCAAATCTTTTGTCAAAATATAAAATTACAAAAAGGATTTTCCCATCCAATTAAACAGCACTAATGAAAAACTAAGCCTGAGATTGAACTACATACGCTCCTTCATGAGCAAATTTAATGTATTCTAAAAAATTTTGATCAATTACTCCAGGGTTCCAATGCTTCATTCCAACCATAGAAATAAGTAAAAATCAAATTTTTGCAGCATTCCAAACGTCAAAGTTTTTCAGCCTCTGAAAACAAGTTAATTCTACAATTTCTCCATTTGCATTTTTTTAAACTGTTCACCCCATTTCTCTCTTGCAATATTGATTATTAGGCAAGGAATTAGATGGCAGCATCATTTTTGCAAATTATGAAAATAAAGTGACCCTCTTCAAACTAATAATATTTGGATTTGGAGGATGCCCCAGGAAAAATAGGATCCATTACAAGTCAAACAAGTTTATTGTAAAAACAGTTGTTATAACAGTGAAATCTTAAAACTCAAGGTTATTACGGATTTTAATATTTTGAAGACACTATTGCTTTAACGATACATCGGTAAATGATGAAGCTAATGCATTCATGGTCAATAAAGACATTTTTCAATAATATGCATTAGTGGATGTTAGTCACTTGTAACAATGTAACAAAAACACATCCACACTTTCTACATGCAATAGCAACAGAACATTATGATAGCAGATTACACTTACTTCCACAAATTATAAAATTAAGTTCACACTATGAATACAATTGTGCAGTCATTACAGCGTATTTCACAATTTCTTGGCTTATATTAGGTTTTACAGGAATATCTTAAAAGAAAAACAAAAAACATTTGATAATAAACACAAAAGCCAGGTTGCGAAGTAATCAGGACAATAATTCTGTTGACAACTGTTACTCAAGCTTTAAGATTTCACTGTACAACAATCTATAATGCATATGCTTGATGTAACAAAAATTTTGCTGCCTCAAGGTTTAAGTCATTTCTATTCAATACAATAAAGAAGAAATACATTAAGATTCCTAATCTACAACTTATATAATATCTCCAATATTATTCATCTTGTTAATAATGAATAGATATCCTAACAATATCATGGTACAAATTTAGTATTAATTTGAAACATGATTTACATGCTCTGAAACATGATTTACAAACTCACAATTCTATTAAAGATTTAAATTGAACCAAAAGAAATATACACAACAGGCTTGTGTATCAAGATTGCAATTTAAATATAACAGTGAACTGCAAAATATCCATCTGAGAAAAAACACTGTACTGGAGTTATCTACACTCATTATTACTTTCAAATATGTTAAAAAGCAAAATGACAACACCCATACCAATGCTTAAGCATTCAAAACAACCATACATGCCACCATTTACTTATTACAATAGGAAGCCATTATAGATTACAACCTGTTTTTCAGATTTGCAGTAAAAATCATAAAATGAAATAAAAATCTACACACAAAAGTTTTCAAAAATATCAAAAGTTCATATCACTTGTAACGGTATTTAGCTAACAATATGTACTTGCCAGCACTACCCATATTGAGAAACAAAAACTTAGGGCAGAAAATAAAATTCAAAACACGCCACATGTGATGATGGCACGTTCAAGAACTTACTATGCTGTGTGGCAGTCCAGGAACCGCCCCCGCAGCGCCAGGGCCTGATGCTCCAGCGCTCCCCCCACTTGCTGCCACTGAATGTGGTACCTGGTCATGAGGTGTGGTGGAGTGGGCTTGCTGTACAGGCAGTGTCCCAGCGTAGTAGCCTCCATTGATCCCCTCAGCATAGCCAGACGGATTCAGGAAATATTCTTTATTCACACAATTACGGAGGCAATCCGGAATGCGTCCAACAATGGCTCGTCGAATCTCACTGGCAGCCATTTCACGCAGCTCTGTGCAAGAGGCATCAGAGTAAAATGCTGCATGTGGTGTGCACAAAAGGTTTGGTGCATCCTTCAAAGGGCCTGAAAAAAAGAGCAGAAGGAATGACGAACACCATATATTCTCAATAATTTGCAGATGCATTTCGAGAGTTCACGAAACAACTTCACATAAATATTAATTCATTCAAAAATTGAATTTATTCTGTAGAAGACTAATTTAACACAAGTTTTTGTCTAATTTGATGTAAATTAATAATGATAATAATAATAATATTATTTATTATTAATAATAATATTTCGGCAAGTTAACTGAAAATTAAATAAGTCAAACTTAAAAAAGAAGGATTTAAAATGAATGTCTATTTTTATGGTCAAATAGATGGTATTTCTCATTCCACAATGCCATTCATAAACTTTTACATAGTTTGCAATTAATTTAGGAGAATTAAAAATACTCTCCCATCTCCACACACCTTTGAAGTAAGCAATTTTCAAAAATTCAGAGAGAACAAGAATGTGATCTGTGGCGTTTTAAAAACTTGGAAACTTTTTTGAGAATGGTTTGAAACTTCCCTTCTGCCTTCTTGTGATGAAAATGTGGATTCGGATGACATAAATTGTTAGATGATATTTACTACATTTAGGGCCGAATTCATAATAGTCTCATACACTTGAGTGTTCCCTTAAGTGGACGAATTGTATTCATAAACAACCCTTGAGTGAAGTCTTAAGTCAGCACTCATTCCTATAAGCAAGGCAGCCCTTGAGTGTCCCTTATGGCTCCCTCGCATCGTCAGTCGTAACCAGTTTAGGTTGTACTTTTACGCGGCGTTCACCGTCTATTGAATTCGTTTTGCTGGTGTTTGTATAGTGTAGGCAGTTAAAATCTATCATTTGTGAAACATGTTATGGAAAACAACTTCAATAATTATTTTGAGTTTTATACTCAACACATCCTCTGAAATTCTGAGAGATATATTAGAGATACGAGCAACCCATTGGAAATGTACTAGAATGATGAACAATTCCGAAAGCGGTTTCATTTCAATAAAACTGCTGTAGTGGATACACTTGTGCTGATGATCGACAAAAGTCCCAATGACTGAACAAGGATTGCCAATTTCCCCCTTATTAAAAGTTCTCGTTGCATTAAAATGTTATGCAACTACATCCTTTCACGAATGTTTCCAAAATTTTTAACTTTTATTCATTTCTGATTTATAAGACCTATTATAAGTAATTATGAATTTCGCAATATGAATTTAAATTGTTGTAAAATGGAATTTATGTTAAAGCTATGAGGGGTTGACATTTTCAATTACATGAAATGTTAATAATCCATTACCAATATTGGCAGACTTATGTTCATACCATGTTACTATACCACCACCTTATGTTTATTAGTTATACTAAAGCATAAGTTAACGTTGAGGAAACAATTGAAACTGATGTCCAGTATTATATTACAATCCAATAATACACATAAATAATGTGTAGAAATTGCACAAGACATTGCAGAGGTTCATGGATTATATTTTTTACCAAACATTTCTTACTATTAGGGATTTGTAATAAATACATTTTTAAAATATTAACCTGGTACCAGTGACAATCATAGATTAAATTGTTACAAATCTGCTTGTTATTAGTGATTGGTAGTTATCACATTAGTAAAATATACCAAAATCAAAACAATTCGTTTTGTCTGTATGAGGACATATTAGAGGTGGTAGAAGTATTTCGTTGTGCGCGCGACATCAACTCTACGTTGCGGAGTGTCCGCCCCCTGTTAAATTGGACGCTGTTTGTAAAAGATGAAGTGCGTATGTAAACTCTGTTGCCAAGAACTTCGAAACAACTGCCGCCTATGCAGTGTTGCCACATTTCCTTTTCGCTTAAGGGAACACTCATTCCGCGGTTGTAAGGAACGTCTATGAAATACGAGCCCCTGTAAGTGAACACTTATTTTGAGAAAGCACTTATCACTTAAGGGTTCGCTTATCCTATAAGTGACGAATATGAATTCAGCCCTTAGGAACAAGAATGACCCACTTTTTTTAGATATCAAGGAACCACAAAATGAGTTTTCCCGTCTCAAAATCACCTGTTTTTGTTGTAGCATTACAATACTTTATACTATGTTATTAGTATGTACAAAAGTAATAGGAATGCACAGATTTCTGCTTAATTTTCCTTACTATCATGTTCTACCAATGCTGCAATTCTTGAAATGCATACTTTTGATGTTAATACTAACCAAATTAGTACCGATACTGTTGAATCAAAGAAAAAATAAAACAAACAAAAATATGGCTGAATCTGTTCCCTCAAATTTCACAGTCTGCAAGACCTCAAGACGTTTTAACAGACACACTTGAAGGGAGTTCCCAATAAAGGGAGTATGTATACTCCCCTCCCTTTGTTTTCTTTTTCTTCTTTCTTTTCTCTCCCCCAAACATATCTGAACAACGCTAGTATTTGTACAAAGAATTTGCTGCAAAATGAATGACCGGCCCTGGTTTATTCCCTAGCTATTTGCTCAAAACTCACGATTGTTCAAAACTTACTCATGTTATTTTCTCAGTGGACCCAAATGATTTCTTATTATTTTTCTCGAGTGCAAATGAATCCCAATGATGGCATAGAGTACTAGAATACAACATTTTACAAATGAAATTCTCCAAGTTCATTTATAATTTTTTCAAACCATTTACATTGCTTAGCCAATTTTTTCCTATACTTCTGATTAGTGAAATTGCTGAAGTCCTTGTACTAAATTACTGATTTCTTTAAAACGTGGACTAAAAGACTTTTGTTAATTAAGAAAAAGAACAGAAAAATGTTCAGAACAAGTCAATCTTAAACCAAATTTTTTCTCGCCTTCTTTTTCTTAAAAATCATTATTACATAGAATTATCATACATGTAAAAGAAAATCAGTCTTATATTCTATCTAGTAAACATATCATGAAGACAAATTTAACTGAATCAACTGAACTAGATTTATCTTTAAATACGACTTTTGAACTTAGCAAGTTCGCATGCTAAAAATAAATAGATAAATTATATATTATCTGTCATTTATGTCAAAGAACTCTGGGTTTAAATCTAGGTATAGTGCTATTAAAATAATTTATTACTCTTGTTTATTTGTGAATTTTCTCAATGTATCTTTTTTCTAACATTATCTTCCATATTATCTAGAACGTGTGAATATAATTTGCTTCAAACACATTTTAATGATTCCTTTGCTTCATAAGGGAAGAGCATTAAAGTAATAATTTACATTCAATTTTGAAAATTGGCATAAATTATTAAATCACAATACCTATAATTTGACAATCCCATGTTTATTTTAACTCTCATTTTCATACCCCAAACGACAAGATAAAATTATTCGAGTAGACTTGTAATTGTCTGCAATTGGTATGAAGGCTACTTTTGATACGAAAGAACATAATACAGAGATCTGAAATTAATGGGCTGCTAAACGTGACCAAGAAATAAAATCTATATATTAATGGGGGGAAAATTATCAAAAATACAAAATTTTAACTGAACTTGCAAAGTGAACAAAAATATTATGTAAATTAATTTTTTATTTGTAAGTCACAACCATGTGAAATTGACAGGAACTAACTACACTACTACTAAACATCAATTGTAACAATGTCATACAAAAATGTTTCATGAGTTGGATCAACCAAGAGAGAGAAATGTAACTACTAAGTTTCCTCCCATGGTTAAACAAAAGGATTTCATAGCACAAATTACAGGACTTTTTGGTAAATTTTAAATTCAATAATTATGTTTACAGCAGCATTTGCATGAAAAACCTTGAGAGAAAAAGAGAGAATGGAAGTCATTTGTGTATTCACTAATTTATTACATTCACCTGACATTTTCATGTAATTTGTAACAACAGTAACTTAAATAAAATATTCAATACTTTTTTGGCAAAATAAAAAATGTAAGCACTTTATACAAAAGCAACTTGGCAAGCATTGGCACTCAAAAGCCTAAAAATTCAACTTCATGCACAATAGCATTTTATATACATCAAAATCAGAACTGAATTCTTTTAGTACTAATAGTAAAACCTCAGTTAATTGCTAACTAATTACTACGCATTGCACAGCATAATGCACTACTGATGTTTAATATAATTGAATTAGTGGGGAGAAGGATAAGAGAGATACAGAGATAGATAGATAGAGATAGAGAGATAGATAGAGATAGTGATAGAGAATAGGAAAGATAAAATTATTTAATATTATATATCTCAAAGCATCAGAAGTTGGGTTTACAACAAGATAATAAAATAACTGAATCCTTACATTTATGCTCACCTTGGAACACATTATAGGGCTCATTTTCATGCACATCTAGGGCAGCTGCTCTTATGCGGCCTTGTTTCAGTGCAGTGGCTAATGAGTCGTCATCCACTAACCCTCCCCGAGCTGTATTGACCAAAAATGCACCTGGAAAAAACAAAAGAAAGGATTTTGACAAGAGCCACTTATAATATTGACTTTTCTCTCCTAATATTTTAATAAGAACAAAAACTAATGTGCATTCAATACTAACCAGGCCTCATCTGCTTAATAGTAAACTCATTGATTAAATGGTGGTTGTGTTCGTTAAGAGTGCAATGCAGCGACACACAATCTGACTGGAAAAGCAAGTCCTGAAATACAAACATGGAACATTAATATTTTCCCCACTTTTCCCTTAAAACTAAAATTTTCCCAGCAAACTAAAATTAATCAAACTAAAACTAAAATTAATTTTTAACTTGCCTGTAATGTATACACACGAGTAAGACCAAGGGACTTCTCAATCCCATCTGGTAAGTAGGGATCATAGAAAATTACATTGAATCCAAAAGCTTTTGCTCGTAGTGCTACTGCTGAGCCAATTCGACCTAGAACAAAAGAGAAACACGTTTTGATTAGTTGAAATTTTACATGGTGCAAAAAGTAAAAAATCACTATTCAGTGTATTAACGCTGTTAGGGTTTGTTTTTGTTGTTGTTTTTATCCAAAACAACTTTTGGGATAATCATTTTACTCCATATAAAAAATTCTCAGTTAAATAATAATAATAATAATAATAATAATAATATAATTCAATCTCCCAGGACTAGCAACCCAAAGAGATAAAAATTGAATTCAGCATAATGCTGATCCCCCCAAAAGGAGTCACGTACACTTGCCACAGAATAAATGTTACTGAGCCTTGGTAAGTGCAGGTGTAAATGTGTGGTTCTAGACTAACAAGTCACGGTAAATAAATAAAATAAATAACAATAATAAATCATTCTGAACACATTCAACCAATGTATATTAAAGCAATATCTCAACTGAGACATTATCCTGAATGAGGGCTTTCTCTAGTTTCGAGAAACCTTTTTTCAGATCTGTTTAAATAAACTTCAATATTTGATAAAATATCCTCTGAGAATTTTACGTGTTTGGAAATCATTTTGCAAATTAGTTAATACACTAACCAGAAAATTTTGGATTTGAAATCTAAAGTTTTCTCCACACATTCTACGCCAAAATTAATATTTTTTACTATTTATTTGTCTTGGATTTAAAAGTAAGGGATACGTTCGAATTATTCTGTGCACAATTAACTTTTCAGTCAATTTCATAACATTATTCAAAATAGAATATGCTTTCATTTTCAAAAGGATGTACAGAACTATTCAGAGATGTTTTACATAGTGTGGCAGAGAGCATGACTAATAGTTGAATCACTCAGTCCTCACTGATATGTACTTAGGGAATTCTGAAAAGCAGACTCAAGTACAGTAAAACCTGCTGAAACACCCTTTAAACAAGTGGCCACCATTGATGGACAGCTTAATGGAATCTATCAGAAGACATGCCTAAATATTCTTTCTTTCTTTTAAGCTGCAAGCTAGCCGTATGTCAGCAGCCATTATAAGTTACATGTAAGTAACAAAAGTTAACGTGTATTATAGGTGTATAAGTGTGATAGATATATAGATATAGATAGATAGAGAGATATAGATACAGAGAGAGATATAGATACAGAGAGAGAGATATAGATAGAGAGAGAGAGAGATATAGATAGAGAGAGAGATATAGATAGAGAGAGAGATATAGATAGAGAGAGAGATAGAGAGACACACACACACACACACACACACACACACACACACACGCACACACTATGACTTAACATAAAGCTTCTAGCCTAATCTCTCTCAAAAATTGCTGCAAAGGGTTCACTTGAAAAGACAAAGTATGGACTTGCAAATGACGTCGTACTGATTTTTTGTAAAACCTAGCATTCAAGCAATTTGCATAACTTTTTAGACCATCTTCCTTCACCTGCATAATTGAAAAAAATTATTTTTTTTCATTATGATCTCTGTCCTTCAAAAATCTTAAATCTTTAAAATTATATTCTGTCAATTTTTTTCCAAATACGAATAGTTCTTTTATAATTTTGAATGAAATCATGACAACTAAAAAAAAAAGTAAATAAGATCTCTTATTTTTTTGCTCAGAGTAATGTGCACTTATAAATACAGAGTAGGTCTATTTTTCATGCAAATCTCTGGAATTTAAGAATTGCAAAAGTTCAAAATTGTTTTGATACCTTCCTATTATTAGACATTGAGATTTTGTCTTCGTGCTATTCTTCATACCGAATAATTAATGAATTTTATGTACTTTTACAAACAACAAAATCTTATTAGATTTCATGAGATTTTGAGATAGATGGTGAATAAATATGACGCCTTTTCAAACCTATCCTACCCCTGCAATATTGATTCTTTGTGAAAACTATTCTTCAATATAAAATTTTTGAATTATTTCATGCATAAAATTTCTCAAAACATGAGAAATAGTTTTTTTTTAATTTTAGTTAATTTACTGAGAGGTTAGAATCAATGAAACATTGAGGAACAATGAAATATGTTCCTAGCACCCTTCAGAAGTAATAGGGAGGTCTACATAGTTGTGGGCAGACAAACATGAATGTTCTTTAATCAAATCCTGTCCTGAGCATTTTTTTTCTCTCTTTCTTTTCTTTTTTTCCTTCCAGAAAGATTTTCGAAAACATAGAGCACAACACACTGAATTGAAAGGCAAATTTACCAAAGATTCAAAAATTTAATTACAACAATCCCTCCCCCCTCCCGAAGATTCCCAAGTGACAATTTGTAAAGAGTTTTCTGAGAACAAGGTGCAGTTTTAACGAGATAGAAATTGCAACATTATATTATTACCTAAAATTAATGTGAGAGCAGTTGCTGTTCCAACAACACTAGTTTAAACAAATCAAATATGACAAAGTAATTATTTCAAAATTTATCCTAAATTTAAAAATCACCAACAATTTAAATTTTAATAGCAATAAAATAGTCACTTCAAATTTTTAGAAACATTTTATGAAATTAAAACGTAATCCTGAACACAGCTCACCTAGGCCAACAATGCCAAGGGTGTCTCCACGTATCCTGGCACAACCCTGAGCTGCCTCACGGACCTGCTCAGGGCCTGTGAATTTCTTGCCATCTCTCACCATGTTGGCTAGCCAGTAGGTGCGCCGGTACAAGTTGAGGATGAGACATAGTGTTGTGTCCGCCACTTCTTCCACTCCATACCCAGGTACATTACAAACAGCAATGCCTAGTTCCCCAGCAGCCTATAACAGAAATATAAACAAAATTCAAAAAATGAAATGAAAAGTTGATATATAAGAATTTTCCTTTTTTAAAACATTTGTCTTCAAATTCAAACAAGACCAAGATAAATTGAGGTAATTTGAATAATAAGTTACAATTGAAAGGAGATATAATATGGCACAAATTAATGTAATAAAGTACATTGTCGTATTTCATAATTTTGAATGTCCCCCTGTCTTCGAATGTCCATAAGCAACCATTACATTCCATTCAAATTTTTAAAAATAATTATGACCCATTAACTAAAATGCCTACTACCATTTGTGGTATTTAAAATATCTTGTTTTAGTGCAGGAGAGCAAACATCAATATACGGTTGAGAATGGGTGGTTGCCTTATACCACTGAAATGACAAAACAATTGTAAACCAATAAAGATCGATAGTCAAATTAAACAGGACCGACTTTTGACTTTGGCCGACATCCTTCTTGCACCAAGCCACAGATAATATTTAATAAAATATAAATAATTGTTTGAACTGGATGAAATATTAGACATCTTTCTCAACTCTAATTTATTTTGATAGCTTTGTTTTTAACAGCTTCCCCCTCATCGATAAACAAGAGGAAATTTTTAAAAGAATTTATACAAAAAATGAAAATATAAGTTTTTCCAACACAAAACTAAGCTGAGCCGCTTACCTAGAAATAGATAGTGACAGGGTCGCTTACCTAGCAATAGCTGGGTTGACATACAGTGCAGAGAGGGAAGATTGGAAAGGATATTACATACATTTCTAGGTATTGCCAAGGAAATAATCTCCACAAATGTTTAATAATATTATTAACAATTTTCCAAAGTTAACTTTCAGGAAACACTTTTCCCATCCTTAGTGGATCCACGTTGCTTGAGCAAGATCCACTGAGGATGGGAAAAGTGTTTACCGAAGGTTAACTTTGGAAAATTGTTAATAAAATTATTAAAAATTTGTGGAGATAATTTCCTTGACAATACCATGGATTACCACTGGAAGATATCTGCTACCACCATGGAATTTACATTTCTAGGGTTGGTGGGTAAGGGAAAGGAGGTCAGGTAAGTTTTTCTTGGAGTGTTTTGGGAGGAAGTGTTTTGGTTTCAGTTGGTAGCTTTGTAATATAGTTGTCATAGGAAAGACAGAAGTTTGTTTGTACATTGGGAATAACTTTAGATTTCTGAATCGATTGAAAAGTGTCTAATGCACTCCTGTTCCTAGAAGAATGTTCTATTTCAAAATTGTTAATATCTAAGCGAGTGGGAAGTGTGGCATGTGTTTGTGAGAAGTGAAGCAAAAGTGATGCACGTAATTGTTCTCTAATTCTAATCTCCTCCTGCAGATAATATGTAAGAGCATATTTTGATATTTTGTTTCATATTTGTGACAGTGGAGTTCATGGACCTCTGATTACACAAGCAGGATGTGGTTACAGGAGGAGAGATGTTTGAGTGTCAGGTGAGGTAAAGGAAACATAAAAATTGTATTTGTGAAGAATGTGGGAAACTTTTATCTAAGTTTTCCATATAAAGGAGTAGAAATATATTTCAATTGTTCCCGGAGTATTAGGTGAATGTGTGTATGTCAAAAGTTTTTTTCTTATTTAATTTGTATCTTAATAACAGTGATAGTTTAGATATGTCTATGTGTGTGTTTCTTTTAGAAAATCTTGTGATAGGACAAGGCATGTCTATGGGTAGTTGGATGTTGGGATATGTTGTGCACAACTGCCTGTGAACTTTTTTATTCTTTCTAAAAATATTGGCAATGGGCCTTGGCAACCTTCACATATTTTCTAAAAATATTGACAAATTTATATAAAATTTGATGAGACCATTTCATGTTGTTATCAATCAGAGTGTTAACGTAGATAGTTATTTAAACAATCACATCTTATGCTAACAAATGTCAAACTAAAGGAGAAAGGAAATTTATTTATATTGAAATATTCTTTAACAAAAAAATATTTCAAATGCAATGTTTTCAATAGAAAGTGATGTGCACAATATTTAAAAACTTCTATCTGTTTATTACACATTCTTTGCAATACTTCAAGTGCAATACGGGCTTGCTTTGAATTACTGAGAGTCTGCAGCATTCAAAATTTATCCACTGCGCAATTTGGATTCAAATTACAATTGAAAAGCTAATACCATTAATTTTAAGCAAAATGAAAGCTATTACAATTAATTTTATTTTTAGTATTCTATTTTGTTCTCCTAGTCCAAATTTTTAGTTCTTTTTCTTTAATTTTCCCAAAGATTAGTATATACTGCATTTTAATTTACTAGCCACATTATTAAAGCAACCTTCACTGTTTTCTCTCAATGAGCTCCAGGCATTTATTTATGGATAATTAGAGGTTCCTTTCCAAAAATTCACAAGTCACAATGACAACGACAACTACAAAATTTTCAGTACAATTGTACATATTAACATATTAATTTGCAATCCTAGGAAACTAGTTCAATTTTATTGAACTAAGAGTTTATGTTATATATTTACCAGGAATCATCAAAAATAACAAAATGTAAAAGTGATATTCACTTATAGCTGATTTTTTTTAAAATTCTCACATAACAATCTTTGCACTAAATAAATAAAAATGATCACAACATTTTGTTTTACATACTACAATTTGTATAAATATTAAAACTGATATTAATTAATAACACAGTAAAAAGCATTATTATATTTCTTTTTTCAGTTTCAGCGTTTTATCAAATATCAAATAAAATGTCCTGTCTTAATTTAGTTTTTGGCTTAAAACACATTAATATCAACTTCCTTTTATGTGAAGAAGATTTTAGGCAATCAAACTTTTGTTTTTTCACAAGTGTCCTTTCATATTTCATCTGAACCAGTCAATACTTATTCTGATTTTTCAAAGCCATGGAACTTTTTTTATTCTGTGGCATTTTTTTAGGGATTCATTTTGCTGTTAAAATGTGTGGACCATTTGCATTTTTTCGTTCTCTAACCTTTTCAGTATTTTTAACATTTATTCTAGTATTTTAAGTTTTCATTTGGAGTCAATAGTCTTTTTAAAGAGTCATTTGCTTTTCCCTTACCATAGGAATCCCTTTTCTATTTTTATGTCAACAGAGTGTGCCACGTAGAGCAAGGCAATGCTTCATAATTCTTTCATTGTGTAAATGTGTTTATAACATACCTTTACATCAATATTATCAACACCACTTCCAATGCGAACAATAATTCTCAAGGTCTTGAATTTTTCAAGATCTTCTTTTGTGAGAATTATAGTGTGCCACATTAGGGCTCCTACAGCTTCATTGAGTACCTAAAACAAAAACAATTAAAAGTACTGTGAACAGTCAGCTGGGACCAAGACTAATATTCAATTCTCATTAAAACTTCATTAACTTACAAAATATTTTTCAATAGATTTGTTCAAGGCAATCACTTACCCTCTTAACATTATGCTAATAAATAGAAAATTAACCATTAACCATTGGTTAACCAACTTTCATAACTGCTTCTTTCAAAAGAGATCTACATGCATTACATTTCATATATATTATTAATTTTCAATTTGTACCACCCCCCTGAAACTTGAGATATGAAACCAGATGTTCTCTCATTCAGCACCATATGAGATAATAATCATACCTTTGCAGCAAACTTTCAAGAACAGTTTAATATTCTTTAATTAGCAAGTTAAATGAGATTTAACAACAAATACATGCATAGAGAACAGTAAAAATAATCACACTACTAACAACATCAAATACATCCATAAGAATATTTCAACAGTATCAGTTGAATAATATCATGTATACATTTTTGTTTGTTTAAAATATTCTGTTTTTTCAGAGGTAAAACACGATACGTGTACATACATTGCAATGTATACACGCAAAAAATTTTAAATATTAGTTCACAATAGAACTATTATTAACAAATAAAACTATTTTGCATTATTTAACTAGCAAAAAGAAAACATTACAATTATCTAGTAATGCCACAATTTTATTTACTCAAGATAGTCTTCCATTCACAGTTTCATGAAAAGATGGAGTAAGAAGGGACTTCTTTCAACAACACTACTTAATGCTGCACACACGTACGGACGACATAACTTCTCCCTTGGCGGTCGGGTTGACCTTGCTGTTAAATTCTCCTTCCGCTCACATTCACACTCACCTTCTCATGAATCTCTGATGTAGACTGTGCATCACAGAAAGCTACGGTAGCTACATCTTTGAGAATAGGCATTTCTATAGAACAATCCCTGCCATCCAACAATGCCACTAGGGGTCTTGTCTGCATGGGGCCGTTTGAAATTGGGCCGCGCAGATTTTCCAGGCGTGGGCGTTTTGGCAACATCTTTCGTTTGTCCATCGGTGCGGCCTCTCAATAAAAAAAAAGTCAAATAGTTCAGAACTAGAGGGAGAAAAAACTCTCACTCGCACTTTTAACTAAGCCGTTGTGATAATCTTCACGACAAATCTTCTCAACAATTTGGCACTTTTTCTGGAGTTGCTTCCACACACAGTAGTTGATCAGGTCAGTGTTATACGTCTCCACACACCTTGGGCTTCATCACGGCGTTTTGGCACAGCCACCTGCAACAAACAGGAAAATATTTCATATTAATAATCTATAGCATTAACAAAACATTTTTTTAATTCATAAAGCATTTTATACATTACTGCATAATTTAATAAACAAATAATTTAAGTTAAAACACAATCGTATTTTTGTATTTACTTATGACTTTCGGTCAGGTTTAATCTACAAATGAAAATATGTCATCAACAAATACTTTGCAAATTCAATTGTTAGCTTTTCAAACTCCTATGTCGGAGTCCTAACTACAAATTTAAATTTTCGAACATTTAATAAGTCATTTCGCACTTCAGCAGTAGACCGACCCCCGCTCACTAAGTATGTACAACTTTCAACTTCGTTAGTTCGTCTCCTGAACTTAAAAAAAAAAAAAAAAAAAAAAAAATTGAAAATTAAAAAACAGAGCAAATGTGTTTGAGGTAGGGTAATACAGTCGAATGTCTCGCGACGACCGGTTGCCATGGTGATCGCGTTGAACTTTCTGGTGAACAGACGCGAGTTCCACTTACCCGCTCCCACGCCCCAGGCGCCGCCGCCCGCCAACACTCTTTACTTCACTTTCCCCCCTTCAACTTTCTGCTCCTCACCCTTCCTACACAAACTGGCGTTTCCCAACTTCGGTCCCTTCCTAACAGCGGCTGCAAAAACATGAAGTCCTGCGGCGGGCATGCACGAAAGAGATACAAGGGAGTACTCAAATATGGAGGGCAAAGCACATCGCACAGAAACAATGGATAAGAAAAAGAATACACGTTGACCTCGCAAATTTTACGTGAATCCATTATAAAAAATAACATACGCACACACACAGAGCTGAAATTGCAGGACAATTTACGTGTGGAATAATCCGCAAATTGGTACAAGACATTTCTTAGTTTCTGTTAGAAGTCAAGCAGATGAAGCACAACTGTCCAAGAGCTTGGTGCAAGAATCGAGTTGTCATCTGAAAGAGGGGAATCTAAATGAACCTGCACCAAGGTGCAACAGAACTGCACCCCTTGAGAAGCACAGCACCCAGGAGGCCGTGAGCAACTGCGGCGACAGAGGTGGAGGTAAAGGTAGAGGTAGTGGTGGCGGTCGGTATTGGGGGTAGTGATGGAGAGAGAGGGCGGGGGGGTTGCGGGCAATGCTGAAAACTGACAAGTGCGCATGCGCGTTCAATCATTCATCCACCCACTTTTTCCCCCCTCATCGCACGGCCATTCAGATTTCGGGTAGCTGAGCTCATGCAGTCGCCATCCACTGGCTGGATTCTGGCCCTGCACATGTCAAGCGCTTTACCCACCCATGCGTCATCACATAAAAGGTGCTGTGTTGGTGGACAGTAAGTGACCGTGTGTTACCCAAAATTACTTGCAATTTTAGCATACTCAACTTTTTAACTATTAACAATAATTTTAGCATTTTAGCAAAAACATTAAACAGCAACAGAATCAATGTAATTCCTCCAATCATTCGCGAACCAGCCCGTCAGTACCGAAGATAACGGCGCCGTATGAGTTTCTGTGCCCGCAAGGCGCTTAAAAACCATTGTTATGCAAAGCGAAACTAATTCGAGACGTCGCTGTATGATTTTAAAACGCCGCCCGTAGCCCCATCAATGCGAACGCATGCAGCTGGGCAATGTTTTGAAAGTCTCGACCAGATCAAGACGCGTTTGAAGATGCGAAAGCCAGGCAACGCAAAATGAATTCGGAAAACAAACCACATTCTAAGCGAATTGCGGCCGGTAGGGCGCAGCACTGTGGGTCTGTGTGGTGCAGGACGCCGATGTATTTGGTAACGACAGTAGCACGCGCCAGCAGATGAGCCTCGAACTATAAAGTTAAGTACGATAAAGTTGAGGGGCAGAGAAACACAACAGGGGGATAGAGAGAAGCTGGAACTAAAAGTTTGCGTTCGCAAAGTTTTAAAAGGGGAATGAGGAAGACTGCGCGTAAGGGAAGGAGGGCGAGGAGGAGGAGGAGGAGGAGGTTGGCTTTAGGGAAAAAAGTTCTAACTCTAAAACTCTCAAAATGAAATGTTGCTTACTGCCACTTTGACGTTCAAACTACCCTCCCCGTTTCTCCCCCGTTAACCCATCCCCTCGCTCCTAATTCAACTTAACTACAGATAAACCAAAACTTTTCATACCCTGGGGGAAATATGAACCCACCCTCTTTTTATATTATAAACACAGGAAAAGTTTAAGTACTAAAAACAGATATCTGCGACAAACAAAAGGAAACATAAACGGACGTTCCTTTAGAAAATAATTTAATGACCAGACAGAATCTTGACGCTCGTCCTGGCGGACGGATCTCTGAGTAGGACGGGGTGGATTGAAACAACGCACCAATGAAGAATTAGGGCAGTGGAAAGGCGCTTCCGCCCTAACGAGGCTCCGCGTCGCCGATAAGCCCGCTCGCCCTTCGGCCGGTAATGAACGCGTCAATGGGCATTGATGATCGGCACGGAGGGGAAGCAACGTGCCCGCCAATCGCCACCCAATTTCGCCTCGTTTTTCCCCGCCGATACCGGGCGCGCTCGAGCACGCGAATTATCGCCGATGCCACTCGCGTTGCACACGGAGCCGGCGAAATCTCGCCACAGATACGCCCAGAGGCACTCCCCTAGCCGCCTCGGCAATCGTTAGCCAGTAACAATGAACTTTTATATTAATCGTGCTGCGAACTTCAATCTCTTGAACTGGCAACTAACATCACATCGTTTTCATTCGAAGGGCTATTAAAAACAACTTTCTTAACTTCTTAATTTTTCTTCTTATTTTTCTTGCGTTCTGCGTAACACACTTTCGAACAGCAGTGCCATCGGTTCATCCTCCTTTCAAAACAAAACAAAAATAATTTCCTATGCAGTCCTATTTTATGACATTCTCTAACAATTTTTGGACAACATCGGTTTCCAAAGATTCCATTGAATGTGACCTGCAAGCCCTATTTTGAACAGACAAAATTGTTTTCAATATAGTTTTGATTATATATCTTTACCTTCAGTATACAATGCATTTCATAGTCACATTACTTTCAACACGCATCTGAGGGAAAATATTTCCCAATAGACGCAAGGACATGTTCCTAAAACCAAAGAAAGTCGACCAAATCTATCACTGCAACCGTGCCATGCAATTATTACTTTCTGCACGCCACATGACTGTGTTCAAGTTGGCTTAACATCGTTCAATGGGAAAGCACTTGTCTTTGCAATTTCGTTTCACATTAGTGCTTTCATGGTAAGTAACAGATTATCTGATTTTTGCTGTCATGAGGGTTATGATTATAATAATAATAATAATAATAATAATAATAGGTTCATTAGCATTAGGAAAATTATACTGAAGGCTATATTACATTTTTACAATTCTAGACCACGTTTTTCCAGATATTAAAATTTAACGTACCGGATACATCCCATATTGGAACTTGCAAGAAAAATATACAAACGAGTAGGAATCCTGCAGCAATATTTCATTAGTTAGCTTCTTATGGGAATAGTATTTGGTAAGTGCAAAGCCCTTACACTTTGCTAATCAAAACTCGTGAATACTGGCAAGTTGTGTTTTGTTAAAACATTGTCAGTACTCAGGTAAGTTGATATTTTTCAAGTGTTCTATTAAAATTCTAATTTGTAAGGCTCACTAAGACTACAAAAGAGGTACATCACAGATGAAACCGGTTTACATACAATTTTGTAATGTGTAAATTCTTTGGCCACGAGGTCCTTTTTTTCATGCCAATTAATTAATCTGTTTAATTTAAAGTTTTGAAAATCATTCGTCGGTTCATACTGTTTAATTAACTTAATTTAGCGTCTGTAACTAGACCGTAAGCTCATCCAAACTATTACGGGGGAAGAAATGGTTTATTAATTATAATTTTAATATCTTGGCGAAGAGGGCCCAAAACAATATTTTTGTGCCAAAATTTGAAATCGGTTTCAACATGTATTTTTTGATTGATATACAGTAATTATTACATAAATAATTTTAAAACTTGGCATTTGATACACATAATTTTTATAACTTTAATTTTATATAAAATAACTTCAAGTACAATTTCGTCGAAATGGATCGTAGAATATAATCCATTTTTATCGTCACCGATATTATTGTTTCAAATTCGTAACACTACGGGGGAAAAATGCAACCAGACCTACGATTGTTTCTTCTTTATCCCAACTTTTCGGCAAAAACAAAACGACCTATTCTCCGATTATTTCTTTACACTAGCTGGGTTAGGGAGCTAGGAGAATAGATTCAAATGAAAAGAAAAACCCAATTGCACGATATGAAAGCATGGTTTTTAAACGTGAATGGGGCTTCGGAGGATAACGTCCGTTCCTCTCAAACACACACACACACGCACACACACACACACACAGGCGCGCGCGCATTTCGGGTGGAGTGACCTCGGCGAGCCAGGCCAGGCCCTTTCGTACACAGAAACCGGGAGAACGGGCGAGTGAAGGCGCATGGGCACTCAGGTGCAGAGGGGGCCGCGAGTGCCAGTTGACACTTACCCGGCGGACGCAGCGACACAAATTCCTCCCAGGCCAGTCCTCCCGCTCGGCTGTCGCAGCCGCTCCCCATTCTTCCCATTCATAGCGAAGGCCCGGCCCGGTGACCTAAAAACGCCCCCTCGCCTGCTCACAAACCCACCCGCACCCCAGGATGGAATTACCTTTTCTTAGCAGTCGAATTCAATACATCCGTTTCCCATGCTTTACAGCATTTTATTATTCTTTTTTTGTTATTTTTTTTGCACGCACCTCTACTTTAGCAAACTAAAGACAGTTCATCGTCCCAAAACTACTTTTTTTCGGCCTAAGTCCGTTAAAACTTGAGCACAAACTTTTAAAAAAAACGAGCGCATTATTGGAGAAAATTTATACTTAATAGTTTGATATTTAACCTAATGTCGAAACCTAATTTATTTTAACAAAGTTAATTATGAAATATGAACGTTATTTATGATTCACGTTCTTCTTTGATATTACT